CAATTCGGTTCAACTAATTTTTTTTCAACATTTTCGATTTTTTTTCGACTTATTTTCTTTTTATCATTGTGTTGTACGGCAAGTTTTCAGACTCGTAGGCGAGAATACTCGTGTTTCTACATGAGTTTACCGTAAAACAAGAACATAACAGAGTAAGTTTTTGCTGATTTACAGAATTTCGTTGATATATACCTGACCGAGACATACAACACGTCCGAAGCTAAATGATTTGTTTCGTCAAATTTAATTTTTTTTTGTCTGCAAAATCTTTTCGAACCGCTAATTACGTATTACTAAATAAAAAAATATGCAATTTTTTGTATTTTTGTTTGTTTGAAATGCATGCCTTATAACCACTCTCCGAAGTTTTTCACATGCTTTAAACTGGAAAAAGATGAAATCTTTCCAACTTTGACTTTCATTGTCATGGCGGTATAAAAACGTATTCAGAGTGTTCTCGGCATTTTTTTGAATTTTGGGGAAAAGTTGATATCTTTGAACTTTTTGTATCATGTTGTAATATAGCGGAACTTCCCTACAAATCTTAAGATGTTCTAAGAAGCTATATGATATGATTCGTAAAAGTTAAACTTTTAAGAGTTGGTTTTTTATTGTCTCCAAAATATTTGCGAACTGCTGATTACGTAAAGCAAGATTTATAGAAAAAAAAATCCAACTTTTTGTTTTGGACTTTTTAGTTTGAAATGCATATAAAGTTTTCTGCAAGAATCTTTTATTTTTTTTAAGTGCGGGCTTCACTATCTCGCCATATTTAAGCTTTCTCAACGTATTTTTTGCATGCTTACCGAAAGAGTTTTTTCACGTTTAAGCTATTCCTTGTACTAAAATCGTTAAGAGTTTTTTTTTTCAATTTTCCTGTTTAATATCAATGGTTATTTCACCAAATGTGAAATTAGAAACCCAATAATTGGTTGCTGTGAGGACTTTCCCTGGTGTTGTGAGTTTGGCCTCCAATTATGAATAACCAAATATTTCTAGTTTACGAGAAACAACGCTTTTTTTGGTTTAAAATTTTCCAGCAAAATTAAATTCGGAAAAAAGGTAGTTTTGAAACTCCTAAACCTGTAGTTGGGTGCTGTCATGGCACTCTCAGATGCTGTGATTCTTGCCTCCAAATACGACTGCTCAACTCCTTGTAGTTTTTGACATACGACGCTTTTTTATTGGTTCAAAAGTTTCTAGCAAACTTAAACTTAGGAAAATTCGTAAATTTGAAATTCCTAAACTTTTAGCTGGGTGCTGTCAGGGCCTTCTCAGGTGTTGTAAGTCTTGCCACATAGTTTGAGTTCTCAATTCTTTTTAGTTTTCAAGATATGATGTTTTTTAAATGGTTTCAAATTTTTTCAGAAAACTTAGATTTGCAAAATTTAACAGAAGTTGAAATTCCCAAATTTGTAGTTGGAAGTTGGCGGGTACTCTCAGTGGTTGTGTTTCTCGCCTTCTGGTAGTAAAGTATACGCCTAGGACGGCAAAGATCTTGTGTTCGAATCTGACAAGGACCAGTTTTTTGCAAACGATAAATGTTCCGGTTCAAAAAATGTCGGCCTCTTATTTGTCTGCTGATGTTTTTTCGGCTTAATTGTCTTATCTAACAATAGTTTTATTTAAACTGTAAACAGGTTTCACTACAGTTTTTGTTAGCATCTTAAAATCCGGTAAAATCGAAAATTGTTTTACACATTGGTTGTAATTTTACCAGCTCGTTTTGTTAAAATTTTACTTTTTTTCGTTTTTTTTTTCGTCTTTTTATCAGCTTAATAAATTGCTGCCTAATTGATATTGATTTAGTGACCTTTTATCGCGTCGTTACGTCCGAAAAAGTTTTTTTTGGGCGTGTGTGTACTCTGAGGGGAAAAGAGACTTACCCTTTTTAATAAGTTAAGAATTTTTTTGAATATCTTTTCGGCATGAAGGGTTTCTGCTCAGGTTTTTTCGGATTTTTTTTACCGATTGGTAAATATAAATTTAATTTCAATCAAATATCTGGCGCATCTAATATAGAGGTTAGGTCACGGCTTGAGATGGCAAAGACTTGCGGTTTGAATCCTGCTGGGCCCTTTTTTTGCAAACTAGAGTTTTTTGTGTTTTTTTGAACTATCGTCCGTCTGTTTTCTTTTGTCGGCTTAGTTCCCGTAGCTCGATGGTTCAGTTTTACTCCAAGTTACTGTAATCACCATGGTTGAGAAGAAAAAACCCTGAGTTGAGACCTGTTTTTCCTGCAACTAGAAAATTTTGGCTTATTTAGATTATCGTCTGTCTGCTTAATTTGGTGCTTAGTTCCGCAGAAAGGACGGTTTTTCAAAATTTGGATTCTGTATAGTATTCCCTAAGCTCTCTGTAGAGTTTCTAATTGTGCAGACGATTTGTTCCGGATATTTTAGACTTTATTTACAATAGCAATTTTTTTGTTTGGTTTTCATAGTCTTGAATTCAGTAATTTTGTCAATGAGGTTGCTGAATATGGAGAGTCCAATTTTATGCTAACAGCCATTTTAGGGTTTTATTTCTAATTTGAAAATACTAAGATCTGAAACCCAGTCAAAGTTAATTTTTTTTGTCTTCAAAAAGTTTTCGAACTGCTAATTACGTATAACTAGATTTACAGAAAAAAGCCAATTTTTATGTTTGGGTTTTTTTTGTTTGAATAGCATACAATATCAATATAAACATCATCTTAAGTTTTCTACTTGCATCATTTGACCTTTTCCGTTAAATGTGATTTGTTCAGCTCCTCATGGAGAAGAGTTGTTTCACCCTTGTTTAATTAGTTTTTGCAATTGCTTGGCTATTTTTTGGACTGGCTAATGTTGCCTAACCATCAAGCAACGAGCACAAATCATGATAGGCCTCGAGCATCCGACCATTCGATTGGAAGCGGAGACATAAACACTTCACAGACGCTCCAATTAAAAACTCTGTCAGGAATTCTAAGACAATTTTTGATAACCTTTGTAATCAACACCGTTTAAAACCTACAATTTTCATATTGGCTACTCGACGGAAAAGTTAAAGCGCCGGATTGAATAAAATGAAGCGAAAGTTCCTGGCAAAGCCGTTACCTTTTCAGATGTTGTGATGTGATGAATTTCCTGGCTAATGAGTGCTTGATCTATGACATTTTCATGTTATGTGATGGTGCGGCCCTTTTTTGTGTTTTTATCAGGAGATTTTGATGTTTTTTTTTAAAATTAGAGAGCCGTGGGTGCAATTTGTGACGTACCGGCGAAGCCAACGATACACTTTTTGTCTTGTGTTTTTCCTTGAGACGGTCAAAATTCAGTGACATGAAAATTTTGCCATTATGGGTCAAAAAATGAGCCAACAAGGATCCCTTATTAGATTGAATTTTCAGCTCTGTTTTTACACAACTGATTGCGTCCTATCATTTTTGGTAAAACTAAATTTGTCCGTAATATTGTTTTAATCTAATCGGGAACAAAAAAAAAACACTTTTGCAGTTTCAGGCCTGGTTCGCGTTGTTCAGAAAGATCAAATAAACCGAAATCAAACAAATTGAGTTTCATGAAATAGCAAAAAAAAACATTATTCATGAAGGTTGACTTGCAAATCATCCTCATTTGAAAATATTAAAGCGATCAAAGGAGTCATAGATTAAATGCAATCACTTTTTATCTGGTTTTTTTAGTAAATAATCCGAGTTGAGAAGATAATTTGGGGAAAATTTGTTTGTTGATCCTAGAAATGATATTTCGTCGTTTTAAACTCGTATATTTGCAACTTTCGTTATTGTTTTTGATTTAAAACCATTGATTTCCGGAACTTTCTCGAAAGAAATTTAGCAGGTGTCCAAGCCTAGTTTTCGATCATTTAAAGCAATCCGAGGCTTAAGATTTTCCGTAGACTAGCTACTATGAAAATTGTAAGTTTTGAACGGTGTTGATTACAAAGGTTATCAAAAATTTTCTTGGAATTCCTGACAGAGTTTTTAATTGGAGCGTCTGTGAAGTGGTTACGTCTCCGCTTCCAATCGAATAGTCGGATGCTCGAGGCCTATCATGATCCGTGCTCGTTGCTTGATGGTGAGGCAACATTAGCCAGTCCGAAATTGGGAAACTTGCTTTTTGTCTCCGTGTACTAAAATCTGACTGAATATAAATCATTGTTTGATACACTGCTCCAACGTTTTAATACTTTACCGTTATTAACAGTTAATAACGTTTTTTTACGTTAAAATTGTCATAAACCCAGAAGGGGTGTAATTAATGCAACCCTGCCCTAGACTCTAAAGTTCCTAGCATGTATATGTAATCCGGGAATTTTTTTCTAAAATATTTGTCTTTTTAATGCATTACTAGGAAAAAATACAAGGATTATCGTTTGGTTTTAATAAAGACGTGAGAAATTTAGAAAAAAAAGTCAAAAAAACCTTCATTTTTTTCGTCTGCTCATTTTATTAGAAATTAGACGATTCAAGTTTCTCTTGAAGGTAGTTTGTGTTTGCGAATTGCATTTTTGCCTTTTTGATAATTATAGTATTGTAAATCATTTGGTGTCCGATTTTTTTTAAAGCTGTCACATATGCATACTCGTAGCAACTCATATATTCAAACAAAAAAGTAAACAATGTTTTGCACTGATGCTTCCAGCCCGTCGACCTTGTAATCGATTCGTGAACACGCAATCCTTTTTTATCTTCTGCGTTGGTCATTCTTTGCTTCGTTGAAATACATTATTAGTGAAAGAGTCTACATTTATGTTAAATTAAACGTGCGTGATGTTACTTTCAAATCTTAATTATATTTTTCATTTAGAAAAGTTCGACTGATTACTTAAGTTAGAGTTTGAGAATTTTCTGTTTTTGCGACAAACTTCTTTGAGCCACTGGTTTTTCAAGAAAAGATCATAATGCTTAAATCTGATGGGCCGAACTTATTTAAAACGTAATTATAAGAACTTTTCAAATACAATTTGGCAATTTTTTGGTCAATAAAGATAGAACCCGGTGTTGAATTTTGAAGCTAGCTCGCATCGAGACTTTCATAAATCGTTTTTCTATAAATCTCATCTATAGTTTCGGATTGAGTTTTTCGAGTCGGAGTGATTGCCGCTATTTTCTTCTGGAAGTACTTCCAGTCGTCGGGGTTTTCGAATGCCAGCGATATTGGATACCTCCTGGAAACCTTGCGGTGAAAAATGGGAAAAAGGGTCAAGTTTGATCCGAGATAGCAGAAACACTTCACGAATTGCAAGCTGTGAATCTAAAACATAGTAGAGATATTTATTTTCTAAGTTAAGCTAATAAACCCGATGTTACTATCTTGAGGCGTGTTGATTATCAGGAACTAAGGAATCATTGGAATTTTATCTTTATAACCGTTTTGAACCGTTTGGGTTTTGAAAAGTTTTCAGAATTCCAAAACTTATAGAGATGAAAAAAGACACATGTTGTTTGCCGAATTATAGGACCGCTTTTTACAGCGCTTGTCTAACAAATTTCAAACCAAACTTTTCTCTCTAACTAAAAAAATCCCCTATGATAATTTTTCGTTTGTTTTTTTTTGACAAAAAATTTACAATTTTTAACCGCTTGGCCTTCTACCTTAGATTTCTTAAGCAGGAGAAACAATTTTTATGCATATTTGGTGAGTTTGTCTGTACTAGCAGTTCTTATAACTAATTCTATTTTATAACTTTCTCCTAAATAAATATACAAAAATAAATTTAAACCCATTTTTTCTTGCGTATGTAGTAGCATTGTTGCGTGTAGTCCCAATTAACGCCATTCTTGGAAAATAATTTGCCCGCTTCTTGAGCAGTGTGACAGGACTGAATGACGTCATTGAGAAACTGGAGTTCCCGGATGTCGAACAGGTATCCTTGCTTGATGATGACATTTCTCAAGCCACTGTGGATGACCACGCCCACTATGTCTTGATTGTGGTCTTGAAAAAATTATAAAAAATATTCATAAAAGGGCGTTTCCGATTTCCCATGCATGTTAACTAATTGGGTTTCTAACGTTAAATTTATTGAATAATCGAAAATATTTCTCAAACTGGGTTTTTTCAAACGCGTTTTCTCAATTCAGATTGAACTAAAACAAAAGGGGTTCAGGACAAATCTTGCTGATGTTTTAGCAGAATTATTATAATGTAATTTGTTTTGCGAAATTTTTTCCTAAAAATTTAACTCAAAAATTGGTCATTTTGGGCATTTTAACTCGAGAAAAAATTCGCCAAAATTGAATCTGATTGGTTGATCAACTGTCTACTTATATCACCTGACGTTTTTGCTATGCAACTTTGTTTTAGGCAAAGTTTGCTTTTTCACCCACATACGTAATAATTTACTGCATTTTTAACAATAAAACTATTGAATAAAGAATACTGGGTATCATTATGTCAATTTTGCTTCAATTTTGACTGTAAAAATTGTGAGTTTAGCTCAAAAAACTATTGTTTAACAATCTCTCAAAAACTAAAAATATATATATTCTTTAACAATTATATAAAATGAACCGGTAGCAATTGTCTCTTTTTGTTCGTTATGGTTTTGTATTTTTTGTCATTCGATTGTGTAACTGTTCGAAAAATTTTATCAACAAAAAATTTGGCTACTGAATGTTGATTTTAAAACAGAGGTTTTTTATTCTTTTGATCTACTAAAAAATGCTAATGTTGTGCTATAAACGGTCGAATACCTTGAGTATTGGATCGGATGTCACACATTTGGAGCTTTTTCAAACTTAATTTGAGATGAAGCGTAAATTTTGAATAATTCTTACACGGCTTTTAGAAAAATGGTCGGAAAAATTTCACTTATCACAACTTTCGAATCAATTTCTTTTAAAATTAAATTAAATTTGCTAGGCGTTGCATGTAAAATGCTCAGTTCCCAGTTCGAACAAAACTGCTTGTCATACAATTTTCAGATATGAAAACATGCTAATCATACAACTTTGCAAGATTCCAAACCTACAGAAAATTATTATAATTTTTTTTTCGAATTCTGCTAAATATCTTGTGTTTGGTCCGAAAATACAACAAGACTGCTTGTATCAGGGCGAAGCTTCGAATGTGCCGACTGCCTTTTAAAGCTTATTGAGCGGTAATAACATTAAAATAAAATAAAAGTAGTAAAATAAAATGAAACTTTTTTTTCAAATTTGAAATTTCTTTGAAAATCTTCCCCCCTTACGCCAAGTAAAGTACAAAACAATAAATTTTGCTCCTTTTAACAAATCAAATATGGCAAATGAGCTTCTTTCAACCAATTTGGAATGATTTCTAAGACGGAATAAATCTCTGCTTACGCGTTAAGAGCGCGAAATATATCGCGCGTTCATTGTCCAAATTTGGCCAAAATGTCAATGTTTAAACCCCCATAATTTTACGAAAAACGATCACAGGTAAAATATCTTTTCACTTTTAAGCTCAAGACAACAATACCTTTTGAATGATATAAAAAATTTCCGTCAAAAATGGCTAATTAAAAAGTCGAAATTTGTCTGAAGATAAAAAACTCACACCGAGCACAAATATTCCGTTACTTTCGTATCGAAAGTCGGAACAATAAACAAGGGTTATCTTACAGAACAAACCCCATTTACTGAATGGAAGAAACCTCACAGACGGACACTCGCATTTGATTAGTAGTAATTGAATAAGAGAATTTTTCATGAGTCTTTCAGAACTATGAAGAAAAACGTTTATTTTTTGTATTTGGCTAGAAAGTTTTGTTGTGAAAACCAAAGCCTGATGTTTTTTGACAAAATGGAGTAAGTTTCACATTGTAAAAAATTTAACTTTTTAGATTTGGATTTGAGCGAAAGTGTTTTGTCAGTTTTAGTTCTCTATTATGAAATGTCCAGCCTAGACAACGCTAGAGACACAAATAACGGTTTTTTGAATATGAAAATGATATTGCTACTCAGAACAAAAAAAGTCTCTTAATCTTTGATTTTTCAATCCGAGTATGAATTTGTACGATAAGAATTTTTCTTGTATGGAGGTCTCTCAGGACTCTGATTGGCTGAAAATTTCCACTTAGAACCAAGTGAACGCCCCCTCCCCCCAAGCTGCTTTTACTTGGTCCCAAATTTCTGCTCCTCTAGAGTGGATTTAGTCAAAATATCATTTTGACCAAAACATAAAAATGTAGTCGTAAATTACAATTGTTTCATTTGAGTTGCATAAATTTTTAAAGCGTTGGAATCAAAAGCCTGGCACTGAACACTTTTTCAAAAAAAAAACTAAATAGATAAAATTGTAAGTGAATTTGAGGATATTGGCTAACTGTGAATAGTGATTACTCGCACTAAATTTATGAGAAAACCAAACAAGACTTCATCTTATATAATTTTAATATAATATAATTTAAAAAAATAAAATTTATAATATAATATGATTTTATAATTATATAATACTATATGTATTAATAAATGTCAGCATATGTACTTAATATAATGCGCGTTTAGCATTTGGTAGCTTCTTGTTTAAAATGATACAAAAAATGGTGAAAATTTTACCCATCAAAGAATGAAGAGCCACTTTTGGGTAACCTTGACAGCAAATTCCCCGATCAAACTCCTCGACATTCGCATCAAACTTCCTTCCTTTTCTTTCTTTCTGATTGGTTAAAAATTGAGACCAGCTGTTGTTTGCATCAAACAATGACGTAATACTTGGACTGGGTGATGCAATATCCCGCGAACATGAAATATCTGTAATGTAATTTTGGCGACTTGAACTTGAAGAAGGTGGCGCGGACTCCTCAAAATGTTCGTCTGAAAAGCGAACTTCTTTGCTCTGTTTGGTCTTGGATTTGCATCGGACCTCTAAATCAAACAAATACAATGGACGCGGAACAAAAATGCAGAATGGCCAAGGTGCAGAATGCGTCCAAGAGCAGAGAAACATAAAAAAACTTGACTTATATTGGTTTATACGGGATAATTGATAAAAAAAATATATTAGAATCGTCAAAAAAAACCAAGAAAACGAATAAATTATGTATGAATTGGCTTATTTCATCAAAATTTTTGATCAATTTTTAAATTTCATGATTCAATTACTCAAATTAATCATACACTGTTCGTTGCTTTGGTATGCTTGACATTCAAGGGCGGAAAATTTTGTCGACTTTTTTTAGGTCCCCAAATCATTTTTCAAGCTCCCCAGACCACTAAAAAGAGCATGTTTTGGCCCAAGATTTCAGCGCTGCAGGAAAAATTTTGAAAGACAGGCCAAAAAATGCGTTTTCGGCGCGCTACCCCCTAAAAATTAGTATACCCGTGCGCAAGATCAGATATTCTTCATTTCATGCATAAATTGATTATCAGATGTGAAATTCTTTATTTTAGATTTTGATAAGAGTTTACAAATTTCAGATCTAAAAGTTTTGTTTTTCTAGTTTGTTTCAAATCTAAAATTTTCTGTTTCAGATACTAATTTCAAATTTCAAATTTGGATCTGAAATAAAAAATTTCAGATTTGAAACAACCTAGCAAAAAAACAAAATTTTCAGATCTGAAATCAGATCTGAGAAATCCTTTGTTAAATTATAATTTATGCATTTCGAGTATAAAAATGAGTTCTGAGAAAACTGTTCGAAGACCTGTCAAATCTTTGATTTTCATGAGCGAATTATCCTTTGTTAGCTCATGTGGCTCTTCCAGTCCCCCTTTCAAATTCAATTTTGAAAAGCTTAATTAACGTTGTCATAATGCAATGCAATTTGGCGTGGTGAACAATTCGGCAACTGTAAAAAAGATTTGTTCTTCACACTTAACAGCGTATCATCACGCATTTATCCGTAAAACACTTAAAACAAACATAAAACACGTATTTTGAAAAGGGGGGAACTGGAAAAGAGCCGCTCATGTTAGCTCATTCGAATATTTATCTCATGCTTAGAGAAACATATTTTGGCACTCTGAAACTTGATTATTTGCTGAGTATCTGCTAGTGGCTAGCAGAAGCTATCAAATGCAAAAAAAATAGCATAAATTGTGTCAGAATCATAGATTTTTCAGATCTGAAAAAACCAAGAAGAACAAAATTTCAGATCTGAAAGTAGATCTGAAACAACCAATACTCAAAATATCCAAAAATTTTACAGCCTATCTCAGATCTGAAAATTAGATCTGAAAAATATTATTCCAGATCTGTTTTAAAAAATTTACTGGGTACGGTTATTTTGGCGACAAAGGCGCCTATAGAAAAGTTTTAGGATCTGTCAGCCAAAAATGGATATCTCGAATCAGTACAAAGGGGGGACTTTTTGGGTCGGCAGGGGGTCAAGTCCGTGAGGGGCAGGAGGGCCCTGTTGACATTTTTGATAGTTAGTTTACCGATTAGCTTATAACAGTTGATATTTTTCCGTTTTTCTGCTCTTGGACCCATTATGCTGTCAGACTATTCTGCATATTGAATCACCATCAAATACAATTCTGCTTTCTAGAGATCGACTTGTAAAGGCTTGGCAAAAACCTGCTGGCATAAGTAGGTAAACTATGCGATGCGGACTCTGGGCGTTTTTTATAATGATGATGAGAGCCTTTCTGCAGAGCTTTCCAGAGAAAAAGCTAATTTTGCTGCCTTTTGATTGGTCAAAAATTCACTGACTTGATCTAAACCCCCCCACCCCCATTCTTGCAAAAAGAATTGTTAAATAGATCCCAATATGTTATCACGCATCAAAATGTATCTGCTCAAAAAGTTTATGGTACTGATTTTTTCCATTGAACTGTACGAGTTGGGACAAAAAGGGGCATGGGGGCATAATGGGAAAGCTTTACACAAACTTGACACACAAAAATGAGAGAGATGGAGAACTTATTCTCTTCAGAACCTCCTACCAATCACAACTCAAAAAATCCCCCTAGATACTATTTTTTGCCTTCCTTTTCTGGATGATTATCTATGAAATTTTCTGTAAAAACGACTCTGCCACCTAAAATTTTTTTTTTATTTAAAAATTTTTTTTTAATGATGTTGAAGAGAAAAACTAGTTACGGCACAGAATTCATCCTGTAAATTTACCCGATTTAAACAACATTGAAAAATGTTCGGGGAAAAACTTGTAAACAAAAGAAAACTTTTGTGTACTGGAAAAGGCTTGGTTTTTTTGATCCCCCTTTGGTTCTGGGTACTGGGTAGATAGTTGATTGTTAGATATCCACTCGGAATCGCTGATTTGAATGAAAAACAACGAAATAAATTTAACAGCAATATTGAATATTTTATAGCTATTGTTGTATCTTACAATTTTGTGATGAACTATTCACTGAGTTGTACAATTCAAAACTTTGCAGAAAATTGCAGTTGCTGGGAGAAAAAAGTATTTCGGTGAGAGACAGAGAATTTCCACAGTTACACAGACATTCTCGTAATTTTTAGAAACTTACCTCACCCAAGTTTCTTTGTTGATAATCAATTATCTGGCTTATTTATATTCAAAACCAAATTTAGCCCTGTAACATTGGATTATACGACAATTTTATGTTTGAAGAGAAAAATTAAAGATCATATGGTCTAACTAATTGGTTTAAATACTCTAATTTGTGTTATTTTTATAATAGAATTATTATTTGTATTATTTTATGAAACCAAGAAAATGTATTTTTCTCTCCAAAAAATCGCAATACAATGTTTTGTTGTTTTGTTTCTCTATATACTCTCAAGAAAATTTGTTTTTTTTGCACAATTTAAAGGCAAAAAAATCTATGTTTCGCCATATATTCGCTAACAAAAAATGACTCATTGTAAGCATGATTGTCTGCCTTACAACAACAGAATCAAATCATTGATTTTGTAAAATCTTTTCAATAGAGTGGGTTATAAACTTTTAACGAGTTTCTTTTACCTGCTTAACGTTCATTTTCTTAATCTTGATTTTTATTATATTAACCCCTTTTTTATTCGTGGTGCATTCATTCTTCAATTTTTGCCTTCGGTTGTTTTTGAACTATAAATAATCAGGAGTTTCTAATTTCTAGCACAAACTGAATGTTTCACTAACATTTTTTTAGCTAATTCATAGTCGCAAGTTTTGTTCCTTTTTTAAGATCTAATGGCTCGCTGATGCTTTATTTTATTTCCGTAGATTATTCAAAACTTTAAATCATTAGGAATTCATAAAACATATTCTCAGTAAATATTAACTTTTTATCGATGATTCTCTCTATATTCAGCGCACTAGCGGATTTAGGGGGCGGGGCATGGGTTAGCGCATGTCTCTCCCCCCCCCCCCCAAAAACAGGGATTTGGAAAAATTTTAGAGTCGGTCAACCAAAATCGATGTCTTGAAACAGTACCATAGGCGGATCCTCTGACGACGCAAAGAGCCCCACTGTGGTACTATTTTATGACCCTCAATTTGGATGACCGACAATAGAATTTTTTAAAGGCGCCTTGGGTGTCAATATTTATTAAATATAGGGGGAGTGCGAGCGAAAATATTTATTAAATAAGGGAGAGTGCGAGGAGATATTTTAAAAATTTGAGCTAAAACTGAGTTTTTACTGATGGTGTACGATTAAATCATGGTCGCAACTACCCATGTTAGGGGCTCATGTTTTTCGAATAAAATTCAGGCTAAAAAGTTTTTCCTGACTATGAGTCACTTTTTTAAAAAGATTTTGTAGGAATTCTACAAGGACAAAAGTTGATTCAATTGTAATTATATGGTAAAAAATATATTTTCCTGGGATTATATAGCGAAAAAAAAAAGATTATCTTGAAATTATGTTTAGATAAAAAAAGATACTAGTGTAATTATAATAGGATCAAGTCGTTGTTGAAATGATCCATTCACGCGCTATTTTAATATAAAATGTTGCCTTATTTGGTTACACATAATCGAGTATAATGAAAAACATTTTTGGCGAGATTTTCTCAAAAAAATCTATTTTTATCCGAGATACTTCGGTGCGGGTTGAGATAATTAATAAGACCTTTGCCGATGTAATTAACAGGAACACTTAAAAAAAGGAAGAATTCCCAATTATGAAAAAATAGTGGACTGCTTGTGTCTTATGTGTGAATTTAATTGTACAAACTGTTGAAACAACCGAAGCCGACAAAATGTCAAACCCAGCCATAATAAAATACTAAAATAACATGTAGTCTAGTTACAAATGCTGGTGTTCAGCTGCTAATGCGAAAAATTTTTCGCGCGTCTGAGCAGTTAATTTTTCCCGTAGGTTTTTCGCCGCAAGAAAGAAAGAAAAAAAATGTTCAAAAAGTGTGTTATGTCCACCAGTCTTTAATTATTTTACATAGGTCACAAGGTTAATTTCGTTAAAATTCCAATTAGGGTAAACTGAAAAACAATCAACATAACCATTCGTCATATCCCTCCTCGAAGCCACCTTAAATCGCAGTCGATCTAACCTACAATTTGCCTGCAAAATTTTTTTGATGCCTTATTTGTTTTCCCAAATTTTTGTTTTAAAAAAGTCTTTCTGGTAGCTTTAAGCTAATTTTGCGAAGTTTCTTGTAAAAAGTTATAAAGAAAAACGTTTGATTCAAAATCGGACTGTTGTAGTAATTGATTTGAAACTTAGACATTTTTCTCAGACATGAGTTTTTTATTCCTCACCAAAAGAACTAAGTTGAAGAAGGTCATATCTCATACACAAAAGAAAAGAAAATGTGAAATATGAAAATTTTAAAAATTTCTCTAAAAAAATTTATTGGGGTTTTTTGATGCAAAGTTAAAAACAACAGTATTTGGTCTGTTCACTTGGTCATAATAATGTATAACATTATAACCAAGGGCGGATATAGGGGAGGGGCGGACGCCCTTTTCTCAGACTCGACCCCCTGTCGACCCAAACGGTCCCCCTTTGGTACTATTTTGAGATAACCATTTTTGGCTGACGGAGCCTAAAAATTTTTAAAGACGCCTTGGGCGCCAATATATACATTTTTTGAGAGGGGAGCGCGCGCCAAAAAAGCGATTTTTTGGTCAACACTTCCCAAAAATTGCCTAAAAACGCATTTTTGGACTGTTTTTTTGAAAAGCTGGCTAAAACAGGGTTTTTTTTAGTGCTTCAGAAGAGCTCGGAAAATCAATTTGGTTGACCTATAAAAAAGGTCGACATCATTTTCGAAATTTTTTGAAAAATCCGCCCCTCCCCCTCGAGAAAATCGTAGATGCTTCCTTGATTAAAACAACGATAAATTAGCTAAACTGAAATCCAAATTAGGGGGAAAATAGAAAACAATAGTTATAAAAAAAACTCACCGGGAAGTTTTTCTGAGTTTTTGATTGCAACTGGGTTTGAAAAACCTTCAACCCTCTTCTGATTTCCGTTTTCAAGGTCAGTTTTTTTACGCGTTTCAATGGCATGTGATCTAATTTCTTGTTCGAGTTCTCTATCAAACTCGGGATTTGATTGCAAATAAGCGGTCTTCATTATGTAGTTTCTTGGGAACCAAAAATTGAATGAACTGATTCTGATAAACAAGAAATTATAAAATTTGAAAAACTTTTCATTGAAAACTATAATTTTGTGACTCCTTTGTGCGGATGTTTCCGCATTTTTGATTGCAACGAGTCTCTATTTTTATAGTTTCCTTATATGAAATTTTAATTGAGATGTGAAATGTTGTTCTTCTATTATTTGGAATCTGCTCAAAATCAATTCGATCGATATTTTCTATATTTCCATTATTTTGTGAGCGTTTTATGAGAACGGAAACTATAGATGTGCCATAAAATCAAAATGGAAAAGCAGTGAAGACGATATTGCTGCCAAATGAATCGTTTAATGTTTTTGTTTTCACCTGCGTGGCAAATGTAGTACGCCAAAAATGGTAGCGAAACGCGACCACTGTTTTTGTCTTTTCAAATATAACTGTCAAAACAAGATATAAATTATTTGTTCGAAAAGCCTAGACAAATTTTCCTTATGGAAGTTGTTTTTACGAAAGATCCTAAAAAATACGTTTGATGCTCGGGTTTACAAAAAATGCTAATCAAACTTTATCCACTTTTAAAAATTGGTTTTCATACACTTTTCAAGCGATTACATAACTCAGAAGTTTGTAATAAAGGCCTGTAACTAATTTTATTTTTTCATTAAGATAAGATTTATGAATGGTGTATGTCATGTATATTTCTTAATTCTCCACAATTTTTGTATGATTTTGGTGACCAAGATCCTGGGTACTCGAAACCTTGATTCACCAATAATTTCACGGTCTAGAATACAAACAATGCACTCAGACAGATTTGAGTGTGAGTCTTTTCCTTTGAACATTACCATGAAACTAACATACTTCTAAGTTTTGGCTGATTTTTTAGTGAAGCTAGTTTTTTATAATCAACATTTGAAATAAGTGTTCACTGACCGGAACAAATAATAATTACAATAATAATAAAAGTAATAACAATAGACCATAAGTAGCTAAATTTTAGTATCTGCGGGAAATTAGTTCATATTTAATCGGATTTTCTGGCCCGAATTTTTTGATGAACGTTTCCAAAAAAGAGGATTTCTCAGAAGATATTTTTTATATGACTTTTGAAGTAATTTTCTCATAATTTTTTTAATTGGGGTATTAGGAACCCCAAACCCCCAACCACCAAAACAGCGTTGGGTGTATTTGTTGGGGGGAAGTAAGCTAAGTCGGGGAGAGGAGTTAAATTTGAAAAATGCACGAAAAATTTTTTTTTGTTTTTTTTTTCCTCAATTTGCAGGTATGGGGCGCCTGGGGGTTTGGGGACGGCTAGGTGTGGTGAGGGGAGTGGGTTTTTGAGGGTGGTTAGGTGCTTTGGGGGTTGGGGGGTAAAAAAAAGGGGAAGGGTGTTAAAATGTGGTGGATATCGTTTTGCAAAAATTAAATAGATGTGAGCAGGTTGAACAATCCAGTAGGCTTTTAAATGGATTATAATCAATTTAAATTCTTTGAAAAAGTGAATTATAATGGAAACAATCGACTGTGTAGTCCTTAAGTGTAATTATAATCGATTTCAATGGCAGCTTTTTGTACCACAAAAATCGATTATAATCAATCATTATCCATGGACCCCATTGAGGGCCATTAATTGTAAATCTCTAAAATTACACTTTTGTGATTTTTAGTTTCGGATCGAGTTCTGACTTTAACATTCAAAACAAAAATTCAAGTTTTTTGAGTTAGAATACCTGGTATTATAAGTAATTCGATCATTCTCTATGAAAGTTATACTAAAAACGAAAAAATCTATTTCTTAACCATATTCTGGTTAATATTGTGGTGGTGTGTATAATAATAGTGTATAAATCGTGATCAAGGGGCTTAGTTATTAGCATGTCTGCCTATTAGCGTGCTTTAATTTCCCTAACTTGGTGCTCTCAGACGGAAAAAAAATCATTAAAGCAAGATATTGAAATATGATTGGATTCACATTTGAAGTGAACAAAACGTGAAATAGCGAATCTTCAAATAACATAGGGAATCTTCTTTTACAGGGGCGTGCTAATTGATACGTATGCTAAAAGACATGTTTTCAAGATCAAGCAATTGATTGGAAACAGGACCGTTGTCGAAGCACGCAATCAGTTTTCATACTATCAAAACTGCGAAGAACATCAAATCGCGACCGAAATTTCAAAATTTTGACTGAGTTTTAGGTCTTAATCTCGAAAAACAAGAAACAAACTGGAAAAAGATACAAGATATGTGAATGTGTCTTCAAGATGGAAGAGGGTTTCATACATAGGCAAAAAAAAGAACAACTTGAAACAATCGAGTAGCAGACCTATTACGAAAAACCAACAGATAGAGGTAACGAACCAATGTGGCAGCTGCGCCTTACAGTGATCAAGTAACCATAAAATTTCGTGTGTCGCCTTGGTAAAATCTTGTAACAACTGTGGAGGAAAAACCACTTGCATGGGAGTGTCGTTCAAAAAGAAGATCCAAAAACAATTTAACGTTTCAAAGAGGAAAGACAAGTCGTGTCAAAATATTAGATAACGAACACCACGGTTCGAATATTGAAGAACTATCTTGTATCATGCAAAATCAGGATACAAGCGCCACTTACAAATAGTTGAAGATTCATCGTCAAATGACAGCTAATGGTAGTCAATTCGTCAAACAACGCGAATTTCAGAGCAACCATTGACGATTTGATCGAACACACGAAATCAGAATCGAAATTGGAGAACAAGAATTCAAATTTATCGCAGACAACGGGAGCGTGGCAACAATAGTTCCTAAATAGATGGCCGAAAAATGATGAAAACATGCAACAACTCCTTCTGGGATCCGGACCAAAATCCACTGGCACTGAAGACCTAGAGTCATGGGTCAATTCAAACCTATGGGACGCTGGTGACGAATCTACAATCTCCTGGCTACGGAAAACCGACTAAAGCCGGTCCTAGGAAGCGACTACATGAAGAAACTGGGCTTAAGAATGTTCCAGGAACAAAATGGCAATCAAACAATGATTATCAACGGGTTATTATGGTCTGAGTAATATGCCAACTATCTTCCAAACGTTGTTAGACTAAAAATATTCGGGGTTATATGTTACCAACTAATTTCTGGATGATATCCTCATAGTTAGAAAAAGTGCAAAAGAAGAATATGTATCGTCAGTAAGATAATGTCTAAAAAGTTGAAATTGAAACACATCACCGTTAACATTGCCAAATGCCAATTCAAGAAAAAAAATATCAAATGACTAGGATTTAGCATCAAAAGAAAAGAAAAAAAGTACGATCTTTTATGGGGTCCATCCACCAATTTGTGAAAATCCTGCCAAACTTCGCAATGCTTCGCATACGATCTCGGGTGTGCTCTAGGACAAAAATCGGAATCAAACTGTATTTTCGACTCGTACCCGTCTTTTTATTTGAACTTTTTTGAACAAAAATTTTCGACAAACGAACTAGAACTAATGAGCGTAGTAGGTTCCAATGAACAATGCCGATATAAAATATGAGGAAAAAGATCTGCAGTAGTTACATACCATCGGGCAATTTTTATTATACTAACATCACATCGATCAAACAAAAAACATCAATTTCGACTGACCAAATGGATAGATGGGTTACTTCCAATTGACTTCGAATGGGAACAAAAGACTGGTTCGTTGATAGTTTGTAACATGATACCTAACAAAGAGATCCTAATCCATCTATTCTAAGAAGATTTTGTTGTAGTGCAGCTGGAATACATAACAAACGACATACGCGAAAAGCTAGGGAAAATGCGCGATAGACTTTTCAGAATATTCTGAACGTTCTAAACTGTTCCAGAACACCCGCGCGATTTGTCAATCGAATTTGAGCAAACCAACACCGTATACACGCTATCTATCCAATGGGGATTTTTCTATCTGCACAACTCAGCTGCACAAAACAAGTGAGAATTCAGAATTTTTCATTTCGAATTAATCGAAACTATTAAAAATGTTTTAAAAAAATTCACTCACTCAATGGCAATAGATAAATTCAGAGAATCTAATAGACAGGATAGGTGAGAGCATCTCTGCCCAGACAAACAAACACCATTGCGGATTCAACTCGATCATTCAGCCGTCAAGATGATTGCAGAATACGCAGAGGATGCCGACAAAAACTCAGAAAGGAGACAAAATAGTGACTGGGGTGTCTCATTAATCCCTTCAGATGCACATTAAGATACATCCGAGGAGGTGACATTAACAGACAAGCTGGAAATCAAGCTATCACGGATTTTCAACAGAAAACTTATAACCGCGCTGACAAACAGATATAAGACACTTTGGAAAATTAGAAATTGCTCTCTCGCCAAGGATGAAGACAGCTGCAGTAAAAGGGCAATTTATATCACCAACACTGAATATATTACCACGTGGAAGGAGAAAAAATGTGTGGGTTAAAAACTGGCAATACCCACGGTGTTACAGGATTGATGTGTCGACTTCTTCCACGCAACACACCCGGGTCAAATGTGTACATGATGGGACATGCTGGCCAATAAAGAACGGATGTATCATTAGCAAGGCTGAAGAAAACAAGCAAAGCATGTTCCATAACCGGTAAGAAATCAAAACTTCTGATATGAAAAATAGATTGGAAACCTTTAAAGAAAATAATTGAATCAAACGAGGAAATCCGAGTAAATTTTTGGTGCCTATAAATAACGAAAACGGGAAGGAGGTGAATATATTCTTGACCATATATCGGTTCTCAAAAATACAGACAAGAAAAAGTTTCAACCACGCGTATGCTGGAAATGCGACGAAATTTTGAAGACAAAAACGAGAATTACACGGGCGTCGACCAAGCATCTTTTCTTGCGGGGAAAGCGATGACGGAAAACAGCGAAAAAGTTTGCGGAGATTTACTAGTAGCGCCAGCTAACAATCACCCAAATGTAAAGTTGGTCAAGCGGTTAGTTAGAACGATTAAAACTAAACCGGTGTGTTTGAAAGAAAAACGCAGAGAATTCTTCTGCTTGGACCATGCAGATTACGAACTATTGGGGCGTTGAAGAATATCGGATTCACGCCATTCTAGGGTCTTTTCGGATGCAAGTTGAATTCTCCACTATCAAATGTTAGCATTTAAACAAACTGGGCTAACCTTAACTATAATAAAATGATCAAATCTTCTTTAGACAAACAGATGCTGGTAACCTCTTTGATGTCCGGA